TCATCAGCATAATTGGACACATTTTGGTGAATTCTCTGTAATATAAAGGATGAATAGAACTCACGCATCATAATAAGTTTAAAATTCAGAAAAAGAAAAATGAATTAATTTGATACTCTGATTTCTGATTTCCTGCACACATTTACCATAAATAGCAGTCATATCTGAACTAGATAACAGAGCTAAAAGAAAAAAAATAAGAAGAACACGGAGAGAGAGCAAGCCTATTTTATTACAGGTGATTTCACAAGCTGACATCAGAAAAAAGGTGGGAGATGTATGTGTGATGCTCTCACCCATACTCCATCCATGAAGATCCTTTAAAAGTGTGCCTTCCAACCATGGCCCTCAAGAGTTGAACTGACTGATTGAGTCAGGTGTCTTGGAGCAAGGATACACAGACATGTAAAACTGTGTGCCCAGAGGACCAGGGATGGAAAACACAGCACTGAAATATCACATCAACAGGTGGCAAGAAGCAAACATAACTCGTAAGCATTTCAACATCTGAGAAAATGTGAGCCTTTTAAGGAGGAACGAGGAGAAGGTAAATCATTTCATTCCCCCTTTTCCACCATGATATTCAAGTGCACTACAAAGATATGGCAATCCATTTTTCACTTCTGGGTTAGCTTTAGCTGGCAAAAGAGCACTTTACCAAAACAATGTTCCTTTTCCTTGTAGGCAATTGCTTTGTCGGTTTTATGTCTCTTTTTTTATCTAATCACAAGCTAACACAATGCTTAACTTCAGTATATGGGAAAAAAATAGCTCTGTAAGGGTTAAGAAAAAATATGGACAAATATGAATTGTGTGTGTGTGTGGTGCCACATCATCATAACAGAAGCCATTTTTGTACTTTAAATGCAAATGCTCTCCTGAACACCACAGTTTACATAGTCATTAACAATCCCCTTCTGTTTCTGTAAAACCTGATACTAAATTATGTTTCTCCTGTCAGTTTGATTGAATTTTTAACAATCTACTTCACTTCAACCTTTAGACGTCATGTGTTAAACACATAAAAACAAGAGGTGTTGATTTGTTCTGGCACTGCTGTTGGATCACAGAGGAAAATTAGATTTTTTTCTTATCAAGTGGGGATCGTGCATCAAAAAGAATTTTGTTTCAGTCATAAAAAAATGTACGTGTTGTAATGTTTAAAGTAATTTTCATGTTTGCTCTTTTTTCCTAATTTAACTGTCGAAGGAAGTGTTTTCTGGATCTGTTTTGTACTATATTATCTAATTCCTTAAGTGATTTTTGAATAAATGAGCATCATATATTCCTTGAGTTTATGGTTTCAACGGTGGAGAATGGACAATACCTCACAGTAAGAATTAGGAATTGTCACCCATCAATCTAACATGAGCGTATCCTTTTAAATGAAAGTCAGTGATATAACCATTTTAAGAGATGAACATCTTGTAGCTTTACTGTTCAGTTGACATCCTTATTTGTTGGTACCGGAAATGGCTGTTGTGTTTACTTCTTTGTCTCTTCTGCTGTCAGTGTGTGATTATTACAGCCAACAGAGGCTATTGGTCACAAAAAGGTGCAACTCCACACGCTAATCTCAGCAAATTCCTGCAAAAGAAATGTGTCAGCTTAGACAGCTCTCAGCAGTAGCGTGACGGCTTTATTTCCATGTGCAATGGACTCTCGGAAACACCATACATGCAGAGTTGTTCAAAGTGGCTGGTTTTAATTAGAGCATTTATATATCGGCTATAATCCCTAGCATGCAGGTGCAGTTGCCATTAAGGGGCTCATTAGATTTTGTGGCACATTTCCATAGCAAACTGGAAAGTACCAGAGCAGTCTTGGTAATGTTGTGATTCCCTTTTCATCATAAGCAGATTGTTTAGGGCCTACAACAATAGGAGCTCATTCAAAAGGTGCCTTGACAACTTGTCGTTGTTGAATCATGACAGCTAGGCTTGTGTGAGTCAGTAATTGAATGCTGTAAACACCTTTGGTTCACAACCAAACAATGCTCCTCGTGCTTGGCAGCAGTGAAAATTATTATGTTTCTCCGCATTTCAAACTGAAATTGTCACTCTGATTCAATTACTGATAAGTGACTTGCAGTCAAGACAATGGTACGAATTTATGGACTCACTAGGCCCACAGCGGAGTACTGGCAGTGAAAAGAATGCTATTCACAAGCCACAACACCCAACACGCCGAGCCATCACTCTTTTGTTAAACATCTTTATTGACAACTACAGTTGTTTCCAAACGTTGTCACTTTGAGTTTTAATTGAGCAGAAGTGTTAACGAAGGTTGGTTTAGAAAAAGTATTACGGTGCAAAATTGTATTTTTGAGAGAACTCTCCACTGAACTGAAGACTCAAATCAGATTCTGGGTTTGACCGATTTGGGAGTAAAGGTTCACAGTAAAATTGTGCGGTGTACATCCTAGGGCTTCTGTTTCAGAGGAACGGATGAAAAAATGGGTTTAGTTCAGGAATTAAAAAAGCTATTATTGCACATTTGTTGCATAGCATAAAAAGAAGCCTGAATCAAAGCCCTGAACAAGAAGTCAAAACCACACAGTTTGCCAAACTACTCAAATAAGGTATTACTAAACGCTGACCACACAGGGCGACCATAGTGTTGCTCTGTAAAACAAGTTTAATCTTTAAATTGAAATGTGGTCATCTTTCACTTTTTGTCCAGAGAAATTTTGATGAGTTGTAGTTAGGTCACAAGCGTGGTAAAAGTTTGAGACAGATCACGTCGGTTTGGAATCCAAATCCTCAAACTGCAGCCTACTATTTTCAACTTAAGCTGCTGCTCAAGAACGCCGGGAGAAAAATGGAGAATGACCTGGAGTTGTACAGTTGGGTCCAATGGCACAGTAATGTTGTGATATGTGTTAGAAAGCCCATGTTGTCCAGGTACTGCTCAGTTGTATTATGTTTAGGTTAGTTTTCATATTTAAAGCGCTCATGAATCCACCATAGGCATTCCGACACTACTTTTTGCACCATACTTTTGTGTGAGATGCAGGAAAGTTTTCTTGTCCTATTGATACCGCAGCGCACAGCTCTTAATTTCCTTTGCTTGCTTTTTCCAATCATTTATCGTCTATCCTCATACCTATTGGAACAGTTGTACATACATGCACAATAGTGTATCTTATGGTGTTTCAGAAAAATAATAAAAATACATTTTATTTGAAGGCGCCTTTCTCGTCACTCAAGGACACCGTACAGAAAAACCCAAAAATGCATTAAAAGAAATAACATTAAAAATCAATAAAATAGACAGAGGCAATGGCAATATCAACAGGCCTCAGATAGAAAAGGCAGTCTTAAAAAGATCTGTTTTAAGTTTTGATTTGAAATGAGGGAGTGATGCAGAGTTCATGGGGCCCCTATGGTGTTATTAAGTATCGTTTACCTGAATATGGCTAATGCTAATGCTGCCGCGATGTTCAGCTACTAAGCTAATTCTCACCGTGTTCGATTTGCTGTGTACTTGTTCACAACATACGAGTCATATGACTCATTGCCGAATGTTTTGTTTATTTTGTGTTCTGCACCGATTGTTGTTTGTATTTCTTTATAAAACCACACAATAAATCCACTAATAAACCAGACATCTGCCTCCGTGTCTTTAAACGGGGACACACCCCATACACCTTGCCGCTCCTGAAGCGGAAACCAGCTAACTCCTGGAGAACAGCTCTTCTTTTTTAATATGTGTCCGTGTTAGTTACAGCTCGCCATTACTCAGAAGGACAGAGAAGAGTCCGAGCATCGACTAATTTCACTCCCCTTCCAATTTATTCAGTCTGCAAGGATCACGGCTCCTTTCATGCTCGTTTAAACACACCACTATACATTTAATGAAACTGTCTGCGTGTACCAGGTGGGTGTCATGGAGTAAGACAGAAATGGGAATCACCACTGGTAAAGGAAAGGAAAAAATCATTAAGTCACTATCAGACCATGGAAGGAAAGCCCTAAGTTGGTCCATGCTCTGGTAGGAGAAAAGGTCCAGTTTGGTGACTCAGACTTGCAATTCCATGATTATTGTCCCACAGGCTGAAAATGTCTTTCTTTGTCAAGACTTTTAATTCTTTGCCAAGGAATTACATTCTTACCTGGTGTGTTATCGTACATTCAGTGGTGATGGAACACAATCTCACCAGATATTAAGCAACTTTTTTTTTTTCCCCCACTGTTGTATGAATTCCGATGAGCAATGAGTAAATTTGAAACTATTTTTGTCCAAGTGGTGTTTATTTAAGAAAACAGTGCTTATTACATGACTGAACTGCAGTATTTAGCCCTAATTCATCTTTTTTTTACAACTCTAGTACAAGTCTATTCACAGAACCCACAAAACGGAAACATACAACTTCATGTGGGCATTTGTAAATTACAAAATCCTTGTGTGTCTGCAAAAATAAAAAATACAGATGACTGAGAGATAAATAGTTAAATATGCAAACATCCAATCAAACTCAACCAGTCAATAAATAAATAGAACAATAAATAACATTCAGAATATCTTTGGCCGAACTGGGGCCACTTCATTCTTCCCACGTAGCTGACAGGATGCCTCGGCCAATCAGAGCAGAGCACAGCATGACTGGATCAGCTTAAACGATGGAATTTCCCAAATAACACCGGATATGTGCCATGACATAGCAAGTGAAAGAACAATTATATTGAGGCACTTTAAAGGATGTTCCAGGAAATGTGATCATTTCTGCACATTTTCACCGAGAGGAAACAAATTCTAAAAACAAGAACCAACATTCAGTTGACAGAAAATCGAATGGCTGCTCATCTAATCATGACACTGTTTGTTCCTTCTTTCTTTCTCTTTTTACAATTTTGGGACTGAGCATTTTAAAGTACCACATGAATTAGAAAACATTGAGTTAAAACAAACAAACAAAAAAAAAAAGATAACATTGGAGGAAAAACATAGTGTGATGGCAGCAAAAAGGAACTTTGTCATTTTTTGGTCCATGAATTTCATCAATGTGTGTTCTCTGTGGCGGTCGAGTCTGAATGAGTTTCTGATTTCTCATCAAATATCCCTGCCAGTGTCTTAAAGCGGGGACCCCAGTCGCTGAGGTAATCATAGTCCTCCTCAGGCTCTATTATGATTGACTCAATGGAGCTCAAAGACTCTGCCACAGAGCCATCACCCTCATAAGCATATGTGGCTAAGGAGTCGTAGGGAGGGGCAGAGTTGTCTGCGTCATGCTCTTTCAGACGCTGGTTGATGAAGTCTCGAATGTCTGCATTATCCTGAGAAACAGGTGGCCTCGGACCTCTTTTCATCTCAGGCTTCACATCCCTGCGGTACAGGTTCTCCTTCACGACTTTGGGATTGCGAAGAGTTCCCATGTCGAACGCATGCGTGTCCTCTTCCCCTCCTCCTTCGTCATCGTAATGGATCACGTTATCTCGAATGTCTTCTTTGGATGACATGAGGGTTTCTTTTTTCTTTTGCCGTCTCAGTCCCACGTAGAGTACCACGATAACTGGAGAAACAAATAGGGAAAATGACGTTAGATCAGGGCTGATCATTTGACTCCACTATTGAACCAATTTAACTTACATGGAGAGAAAACTATTTGGAAGACCAGTTTTGATCATATCACGATAACAAATGTTTGGCTTTAGCAAAAACAAATTTAAACAATAGACACTAATGTTAGTTTTGGCCACATTGAGAGCCAGTTTGTGGGGAAAGAAAGGCTGCTTCACAAATCACAAAGAAAAGATGTTGAGATTCTGGCTTGTTATCATATCTATATCCTACTTTACATGCACTGTTGACCTAACCAAAAGTCATGCTAACCTTTAAAATTAAACTTTTTTTTGAGGGTTTTTTACAAGAGCCTGTAAAAAAGATGACCATATCCACCTTATGCACCTCTGATTAGGATAAGTTTTTATTTATGTTTTTATAGAAGTAATTTTCCTCTGGGATTATAAAAGTATTTCTTATTCTGATTCTGAATGAAGAGTAAAGTTACTTTGTTAGAGCTTGAACAAAGTTAGTCAATGTGGCTGTGAATTAAATAGACAACAAATTATATGTTTTCTGGCAATGGCGTCACTTATTTAGGTTTGGAAAAGTGGAACTACTTGATAGAGATTAATAAAGTTGGCATTTTTAAAACTGGTGTTTCTTAAATTAGGTTTTATGTTTTATTTTTAGAAGAAAAAGTGTCAAGTTTGTGTTTGACACTTTTTGTTTTCTTGTGATGAACTTTTTTGTTTTGTTTGGTCAAGATAATGAAAAAGAACCAACAAAAACATACAATTTCCAACAGAGTTTACTAGTGCCAAAGTACATTTTTAAAATGATGAAAATTGCAATCAACAAATGAGAAAGTTAACATGCTGACATTTGCAATTAACTCAGCCTCACAGAGCTCATAGGATGACTGTAAATGACTCTAAATCCTCTTCAGATATTTAGGTCATATTTTACAGTGCTCATTATTTTATTACACAGTGAGCACTTGTATTAAATGACATTTTGAAACAAAAGTCATGTGCAACACAGTTGAAAAAAGTTTCAACCAAATGAATCCTCATTTTCATCTGCATGTGTCCTCCTGTTTCTGACACGAGGAAACACCATTTAACTGGAGGTTAAATTGTACTAAAGGATACGTTTTTCTTTTAACTCAACCCAGGAGAAGTAGCCAACATTCTTAACAGGCAACAGAGTAAGCAAGCACTGGTGTTTTCAATGCATAGTGTTGCAGTAAATTTCCTTCTCTACCTTCTGTGTTGTCAGAGCGATCTGTCTTTTTGTGTCTATCTCCCCCTGTGTCCCTTTCTCTGTCTAGTCAATGAATAATGCAGTAAAATATGTGTTTGTCCTCTGGGTTTGTGATCTACAGCAGCACCTCAGAGGAGGAGCAGTGGCCAGAATAACTCTGAAATCAGTCAGTGAAATGAAAGAGTCAAATAAATACATTGAGATTGGAAGAAAAAAGAGCCTGAAAGGGTATCTTACTTTAAACATTCTTTATATAACTTCCTTCCTGCTTTCCCTCAGTCTTAAATGATTTTATTATTTTTTGTGCAGTATTCCAGCTCCCCCTAGTGGTGGCTTTGGGGACTATGGCATCTGAGGGCTTATGTGTTGCACATTGACTGTGCACTCGATTCATTTGAGTATGGAGGAGATGGTAAGTTAAAATGGAAGAAGTGGGTCATTCTGCTCAGAAGCCTCTATGGAAATGTTCACAGTGTGAGTTCTGATTATCTCTGCCGCATCTCTTCTCAGGGGCAGCATGGCAGTTTGGCACCTGCCTCATCTGTGATGGGATTAGCAAATTTTGAGCTTTTGAAGAGAGCCTTATGTTTCCACTTCAATGAAGTGGAAACATAGGCAAATATCTCAGCATACTGCTACTGTTTTTATGTTTGAAAAAAATAAAATATTAAAACCTGTGAGAATGTAATACATTATGGTAAAGGTATTAGTTTACTTTATATACAATTAAAGCCATATAACAGTATATTCTCTAGTGGATTATAAAATAGAAAGAGCCAAAGACAAGTTGCTAAATATATATTTAAAGGTCATGGCTCCTATGACTTCCTGTGGCAAATGAGAACTTATTTAACGATCATCTATCCAACGTTTACAATTCAGAAAATGATGCAATAAACCCACATTTACTTCCTCTCAACTATGCAGATTAGCCCTGACATAAATGGCAGAGAATTAAGGGAGTTTTACAACAGTGCCCTTGCAGGAAATGTAAAAGTCGTAACTTGATAACCACTGGGCATCAAGATTGGGTTTGGTTTATAGAGATATGCAGCCCTCCATTCAATCTTTAGCATCTCATTAAATAGCCAAATTCATATGGGCTCTCTTATTGAATGTGGACACTCTTGGAAGGATGCCAGCCCATCATTGATGGTCATCTCTAACGATAAAAAAAGAATTGCATGAAAACTGCATTCTGATTAAATCATGGAGCGATACCTAACTGTAGATTTGAGGATTGATTTTAGTGTCCAGCTATAAGCTTGTACTATTTATTTAACAAGCCAGACAATCATAAGTGATTAAATGAAAGACATCCTGTCTTTTGACCTTAGAAAGCAGTTGGTAAAGAACATTAAAAAACTGTTAGCGTTACAATAATAAAGAAACTGCAAAGTGGAACATTTTTAAAGCTATCCTTGGATTGTTGAAAATCTTTTAAATATACAAGGATATAACCTCGAGAGTATATCCTCCAAAACCAGTGATGTGTTTAGTTTTGGATGAAGTGGTCAACCTCTGCCAGTTTCATGGAATTCAACTTTTGTGTTCTTGCTGACAGACAGACAAACCACGAGGAAAAAACCTATTTTGAACCTTTGAGGGAGCTCAAATCACCAATAGTACAGGAATAGTTGTATAAAAGAAATGTCAGTAGTTTGACATTTCATAAAATGTCAACTCTTGTCTTTTTGACGAGACTTGGACGAAAAGATCAATAGCACTCTACTCAAGTCTTGTTGCTGCCATGAGATTGCTATCCAGGACATCAATCCGTACATGGCTGAAAAAAATACATCAGTACGAGCCAAACTAAAATTAAAAAGAACAGAAGTTATGACAAATTAATCTTATGACATATCTGATTTTAGGAGGCATTGTGTGTCTTTATCACATATATATTTTTTTCTTTTATAATACCATATGAGTTGGCTAATTTATGACTATCAGTAATAGTGTTAAAAAATAAATTACATTTTTGTGACAGACCACAATGCATCTCACCTAAGAGGATGATAATACACAGAAGAATGGCAATCAGAGCTCCGGTGCTCAGTCCAACCGGAAGGAAGATGGCCTCTGCACTGCACGTCAGCAAGGAGCCATCTGACTCACAGCCACACACGCGGATCGTCAGGGTCCCCGTGCTGCTCTTGGGAGGGTATCCGTTGTCGTCAATTACAACAGGGAGGAAGTAAATCTCCTGTAAGCGTCGTCTGAAGCCACTCCGCTTTGTCACAATTCCAGCTGTGTTATCTGAAAGAAAGGACAGAGGTGCTAATTTTTGCACTTTCTGATAATCTCTCAAAAAATTAAGAAAGAAAGAAAGAAAGAAAGAAAGAAAGAAAGAAAGAAAGAAAGAAAGAAGGAAAGAAAGAAAGAAAGGGAATAGATAAAAGAATCTTTAAAGACAAATTTTAGAAAAAGCAGAGTGGAAACTGCTCTTTACTGAACTCAGCAGGTTAAAAGAGTTATGAAAAAGTAAAGACAGCATCTGATCTGATATAACTGCATCATTTAGACAATCTTCTAAGCTCAATCAAAACTTTTGTGATCTAAGAGAGATAAAATAATCTTCAACGTGCCCCTCAGAACGATGCTACGAATCAAAGGCTCGGTTCATCAAAGTACTCGCTATATTACAATATGTAGATTAAAACCGCCAGCGCACGGCTCCATCTACAACACGGGGCAATATCTTCTATCCTCCTGCAGTGTGGGGTCTATCACATTTCTGTTTTTATTTCCTAAAGTAAGCATCACTTTAGAGAAGTGACCAATATGTAATGACACATAAGAGTTCGGAAAAAAATAAAAAAAACAGAAATCGACCAACTTGAGAAGACAGCTGGAGGTGTAAGGACGGCGAGCCGAATCGAGGGCGACAATGTAAACAAGGGAGAGAGAACATGTCAGGTTGAACCTGCCCGCTCCCGTCTGCTACAGCTACAATGTCTGACCCCTGTCAAGCCAGGTTTGTTGCCCTGACAAAGCCCGGCACTTTTTCCTGACAGGAGGTCAGGCATTTTAACACACCTTGCATGTTGTGCACAGCGACGATTTTTTGTTTGAGCTCTCCCTCCCCATCTCTCGTTGAATCTGACTGCGTTGCCCGTGGTGTTTGTCTTTCCTGTCCCTGCCTATCAGATCGCACTCCGTATCCGCGGAGCATGTTTCCAAGGCTACTGGCAGTCAGGAAGCCGCGAGACAGTGTGTCCAAAAGGTAAAAGTGGATCAGAGGTCCGGACCTGGGCTTGTCAAGGATGGTGAATGCATTCGTTTCTCTGGCCTCATCCTTTCATTTCCCACTTTTCAGTGCCCGTCTCTCTGGGTTCACTTCAAAGGGTTCAGAGAGTGCACACATGAAATTGTCATATGTGGCCATTTCCTACAACTTGATGGTTTAAAGATTTTTTTTTTAGTATCAGGATGTTTTTCAGAGTATAGTAGCTTCAACAGTCCTATGGAAATGCAATTCTTCTCCCTTTTGGAAGATGATCAAACAGTTAAATGCACATAACAGAGTGCAGCTTCTGTTATGATTATTGTGTAACAGTTTCCTTTTATTGACATATCTAGCCATGTATGCATGTAGTGTGCTATATGTTGTTGACATCATAAGTGAACTTGCTTCCTTTCCATGACTTAAGCAATGTTCTTACTTTTTTTTCCACTAATTTGATTCAATACTATGTGGACCTTGACGGTATTTACTAAAACCACCTCTGTGTTATCCTTTTTTTCCCCCGGAAGTGACATCAGGTGCCTTTGTTTCTGTGGCTGAAACCGGTCGGTTCCAGTTGGTCTTCTTTTGCCAACATACAGTCTGAAATCATTGAATTTGTAACTATGCCCCTCTGTGTTCCTTTTGTCTCGTTATCATTAATTATAAATCAAAAATCTTGGAAGGTGAAAACCTGTTGGGTCTGCCATGTTGTAAGTATATTTTTCTATAGAAACGTGATAAAACTTACTTCCAAAATCTCGAATGGTGAAATTTTTATTCGTCATATCTTCCTTCGATGTTCTGAAGGAGAACTGTTGTCCAGCACTTGGTACATCCTGGTCTTTTGCGCTGAAGATCTGAATAACCTAAAGAGAGAAAAAAATTAAGCTTTAACTTTCAGTCCATAGGTTTTGTTTTCTGGTCATATATTTACATACATGTAACACTTTCATTATATCACAGAGAACACAATTGCTGGACTTTTACCGTAAATAGGAAAAAAATATCGAACAAGTGCCAACGACTGCTACTGACCAGAATGCATGAAAAAAGCTTTCGGCTTTGAAATCAGGCAGTGAATTGTTTTCCCTATCATCTTTGATACAGCACCCTAGTACTTGATTGAAAACTTGTTGAAAATCCTCCATCACCTCAGCACAGTGTGATGTGAGTGTGATGGATTAACCTAATTTCAGTCCACTGGGGCTTGTACAGTGGTAGCAAACAGATACTGTTTCCTGTAAATTCCTTTTCATATCAAAACTGATCAACATTAATTGTTTTCAATCCAGGAGTGAAGAAAAATAATTACTTTTCCACACTGCAGTGTTTTAGCAAGCTAAGTTGCCATCAAGAAAAACACCTTGCTAATAAACCAGAAATGTATTTTCATCTCCCGCCTAGCAAGACATGGATATCTGATGGGGAACCGCATGTCGAATATGAACAGGATTCTAGTTCCTTTCTGCTTTCCAACTGTCTCTGAACTTTGGTTGCAACTCGCTTTCCTTCCCACACGGCTGTTCAACCAGTCTGCTCTTCTCACCCACTGGGGTTGACCTGCTGGAGCCCTCATGCCCCAGTCTCAAAATCCCCCATGCAGGAGTCAATAACCAGCCCTCCCACCTAGTTACATCACCCTGGCTGTGTTGCTGTCGCTGTTTGCCCTCTCAGTATTTGAATAAAATTCCCAACAGGGGAGTAAACCTGACATTTGTGTGATGAGTGCTCTGTTGTGCTCCCCACAGCAGATGCGCAGTTCACACTATTGATTTCTTGCAACCAAATTAGCTTTGTGATGAATAAATACTGCTGCAGGTACCACTTTCTGAAATCAGTGTTTAATCTATTGATCTTTTTTTTTCGTTTTTTTTTTAATTGTAAATCAGATCCCTATAAAAGTTCAATACTTACAATTAAACCAGTACGACCGCATTTATTTTCGTATTTTTTCGCACATTATCAATTAATTGATTGACAAATAAGCTAACCTAACAGCACAAACAAAAAAGACATTTCACATACGAGTAATTGTGCCAACATAAATTGGTTTTAGAGGGAAACATAATTGTGCGCAAATATTTCAGAAGATTTCAGAATCTAATTGTTTCAAATGGCGTTTTGAAAACCAAAATCTCTCCTCTTTATTCTGCTTCAAAGAATCAATTCTGAACTGGTGGATTTGCTGAATATCAGCACATACTGAGCATCAAAGGCCTCAGACCTTACGGCATCAGCACACTCCATCTACTTTTCCTTTTTTTAATTCAAACGTAACAAGTCATGGATGCATTTACCTTTTCATGCAGTCAAACGTGCTCCACCCTTGTGAGTATAAGTGATGCAGTTGTTTCTGTATTTGCTTTGAAGTTGGCTGATTTTATATTAATTTAAAACTTCATCATTTCACTTTGGGGACTTTTTGGACAGGATACATGTTTCAATGCTCCTCCAGCAGAGGAAACTCTACTGTCTCCCTCTCCTCAGAAACAGTGAGGTGCAGGGCTTGTAATTAGTCTTTAAGGTAATAGGCTGATCATTTTTTTAGGTCATTCTACAATGATGAAAAAAGTGAAGCACTAGCAGTTTGCACATTGAAATCTTTGATCAGTGTTCAATGAATGATGGATGGAAATGGGCATCGATAGGTGGACTTTTCCTGTCTTTGCCAATGACAAAGAAAAAAGCAAATACTTACACGAGGAATAAAGAGAGTTTAAAGACTTATGAACCAACGGCTGAGTTGATTTCCACATTTATTGGACTCCGTCAATGGTTCTGTTTCAAACCCTACTGACAAACGCTTTACAAAAAAGACAGTACATTTTTGCAATTCATTCTACACTTTATATATTTTGGCATTTTTTAGTCAGTGAAGTTACTTGTAAACAATCTTATATATATTATCTTGCATTAAAGCACTGATATGTATGATATTATCGTAAAAAAAGAAATTGACCAAATGGAAAACAAAATTAAATTCAATTAAAATCTTTCATTAAATATCTTAAATCTGATTCAGAAAGAAGGTATATAATATGTAATCTCATTTATTTTCCAATGTGTGCCATTGCTAGAGAACCAACTTTTATTTTGTGTGAAAAAGTCTTTTTTTTAAATTCCCTTCCTTAAAATCTGTCACGTGGAACTCTTTTTCTGTAGAAATGTTCTTGCACATCAAAGTGCTTCCTGCCTCCTTGTGATCTCCAGTAAAACTGCAGCTGCATATTACTGATTGCTTTCAGAACTTGAAGTGTAATTTGCCTCTGCCCTTGGCTACATGGTGAGCAAAGCTAGATAAAACTCATTTCTAAATGCTGTAAATATCGTTGTAATTACTCTAGCATAACAGGCGGATTCAATGCTTTTACGTTTCAATACAGCACTTTAAAAAGCACGGCAAATAGTTTAAAAAGCAGAAACACATAAAACATACTTACTCTGCGCATCAATGAGGATGGATGTGTTTTATGTTGCCTTTGAGGTTTCTTTTTCTCATTTCATGCTTGACCAGTTAACTCTCATAATTCATGAAATATAAAAAATACCTCTGCATAACTTTGCCTCAGTCCAACCTTTTTTTTTTTTTCTTTGCAAGCCTCCCCTCCCCTTTCTTGTTGTTGCTACATATTTACATGAAAATAATAAGTTGCTTCTTTCGCTTGGATTCATCCTGGTTACAGATTATTTTCAATCAGAGTTGCCACAGCGTGAGATACTCCAAAACAAGCAGCTTGTATGTTTTTCAGCTGTGTAAGTGCAGATAATCATCAAGGGAGACGTGTGATGGATTTTACATGAGAGGGACCCGCGATTCTTTATCATCCCCCAGCTGTGTGCAGCACCTGGTGGAATCATGCTGTGGAAACACTGCAGGAAGTGTACTTTCTGGAACGGAGGGCAACGGAGGAAGCACGACAAGTGGAGAGGGGAAAAGAAGAGATAAAAAGAATACGATTATAGGGAATAAAGAGAGTTATGTGTGAAAGTATGGAGTGGAATATCCATCCATCCATCCATCCATCCATTATCAATGCCGCTTAGTCCCTCATGGGGTCGCGGGGGGAACTGGAGCCTATCCCAGTGGTCAACGGGCGAGAGGCAGGGTACACCCTGGACAGTCCGCCAGTCCATCGCAGGGCCACACACAGGACATACAAGGACAAACAACCACTCACACTAACATTCACTCCTAAGGGCAATTTCCCCAATCTCCAATCAGCCTAACATGCAGGTTTTTGGACTGTGGGAGGAAGCCGGAGAACCCGGAGAGAACCCACGCAGACACAGGGAGAACATGCAAACTCCACCCAGAAGGGCCCTGGTTCCCCCGGGATTCGAACCCAGAACCCTCTTGCTGGGAGGCGACAGTGCTAACCACCACACCACCGTGCCGCCTTGGAGTGGAATATGAATCTTAAATATAGGGTTCATATTTCATGATGACTGGAACTCATCTAAATGTAAAGCAATCATTTATTTACTTACTTTTGTACTTCATAACCGCTTTTAATCATGTATTTCTCTGTGCATTCATAATATTTAGATCCGAGCAGAACGATAAACTGATTGGATTGTTGGAGAAGAAGCTGAATTGAAGCCATGTAAGAGAATGTAATAATATGCTCATTAAAATACAGAACTGTGTCTGAAACGGGATTCCACTCAAGGGTCCTGCCATAACAAAGTAACTCAAAGCATACACAGTTCTGTTTTTGAATAGCTCATTTTTATTGTCTGCAGCCAATTTCAAAAGTGAAGTCATCCATTTCTGAATTCTTTAAAGCAGAATTAGTTCCAGGCATCTAAGGTACTTGTCATCCTTTCCTAAGACCCCAGAATCAGTATTTAGATAGGAAATACTTTTTCATCATTTTTTATATTCTATTTTGTGTGTGAGTGTGTCTTCGTGTGTGTGTGTAGAATGATTTCAGAGTGAAAAAGGGGAAAGGAACCTGACGAAGGAGACCCACCGGAGTGGCTCCGACTTGAAACGTAGCATTGAGCAGATTTTCAAAGGTACGGTTTGTTCACATTCATTATTTGTAAAGGCCGGGTAATGATCTCTGTAAGATTTGTAAACAGTTTGACTTATAAGACTTTACCCAACAATTAATGGCTATTAGCTCCTCCACACAGCTGCCAAGCTGTCTGAAAGTTCCACCAATTATGGCCTACAAAACATGACAAGGTTGTGAGAAGACAGTAGAGCATTTTCAGGTAAATGTTTCATCAGCCTGTTATACAAACACAACTTCACGAAGAGAACCTTTGCTGGAGTCGTCCCTTTAGGCTTGCTGTGAGTACTCTGGCATTCTTCTACAGCGCTGGATGTGTGATTGGTGTGTTATTCTAAATGAACAGTGCACGTGTGCATGGTTGTTTGTTTCAGCTGTGACCCTGTGATGGACCGGACCCTGACCTCTTCTGTGAGTCCTTCCTGATTGACTCAGTGAGGCTGGTATAAAGCACCAAAAGACTGTGCTATTGTGTAGCCATTCTACACAAATATCACTCACCAAGAGACTGATTAAATCAAAGATTTTCTGGCCGAAGTGTGAGAAATTACAATGGATGAAGGGTCCAGAGTTATATCAAAAGATCACCTCTCCAACTGCCAGCTATGGAGGTGGATTGATCGTGTTTTGGGCCCGCACATAGTGGCACGGGGAATATTTTGCAGGTTAAAGAAAGAATTGATTTAACTGAATACCAGGAAATTCAAAGAAAATAATACCAAAGGTTGAAGACAATTGCTAAATTAACCTTTTTTTTGCTTTAGTTTTTTCTGTTAAGTTTCTTTTTTTTCCAAACCTGAATACAATGTGATAAAAACTTCCTAAACAGTGAGAAATGAGGGATATTTTCAGACAAATAGATAACAAAATGTCTATCTCATACATTTATTTGCAATATACAATAAAAATTAAGTTTACTGAGTTGAAAAATGCTGTCATTTATGCTTTCCATATTAATGCTTTCTAGTATAATGCTTCTCTTTTGAGGTCAGTGTAATTGGAGTGCCTTGACTCAATCATGGAGGAAAAAAATGAAAAAATAAACTAGGTGAAATTCACACGTCAAAGAAGACTGTGATGTCTTCAAATGAAGTGCACAGTCGTTGTTTTGATTGCAGCGGGCCTGAGGAGTGGCCAGACGGCCTGGATGTGATGAGGCGTCCACACTAATTTGATAGACTGCCAAAGAAGCTGCACTATCACAACGCTAACTGCATATAAATTCCAGTTAATGGGCTAATTTACAGGCACGGTTGGCTTAAATGCACGCAGGAAAATTCTCCTCTGCATCTAAAATATATCATCTGATGAAAATGTACTCCGGGTTGCACAAATGCAAAGCACTGCCGTATTTTATGATTGCCTCAGCTGCTGAACTGAACTCAGTACGATACAGTTGGTTCAGTGTTTTGATTCAAACTTTAAAGTTATAAATAACTGTGAAAAAAAATCATTGAAATAAAAAAAGGGTTTTTCTGGTGACCTTGAGTGAAGTGGCAAAAACTAGTGGATGTTGATGTGAGAGCCACACATTGTGCATTTGTAAGTGCGATGCGATGCTCCAAAAAGCAGAAAAATATCACTTAATTTGATCTCCACACACCATAAATTCAGTGTATATCTCTCCATGGTGTATACTTTCATACACACTGACACTCTCGTGGTGTTAATATAAATCCTCATCTCTCACATTCAATTTTACACCTCTTAGTTGAATTTCAGCAACCAGCCTAAAGCCACATCAGCTCTGCTAGAGCATAAACACCCCAATCAGCAGCTGTCATCGCACTGAAAAATCAACACAATTTAATACTGGAAAATTAGCTGTGTTTTATAGCATGAGTACTTAATGTGCACGGAGAGCTGATTATGGTGAACATACCTGTCCAACTTTGGCATTTTCACACACAAAGGTCTCATAGGGGCTGGAAAGTTCTGGGGGGAACTCGTTGATGTCCAGCACGTGGACAGTGACGGCCACCCGACTGGTCAAAACCGGACTGTCTGGAAAGAAAAACACAGCACAAATATATATTTTTTTGTTTTCGTTTTCCACAGCACTGACACCGTGTGGATTTCTGGGGTACTACCATCCGGCTTCATCACTGTCGCAGTAGGACATGGACGTCTCAAGGGTCTCCGCCCCTCCAGGTTTTAGACATTTCCCTGCCTCGACACAACTGACTTGGATTGAATTAAACCCCTTTCGGAACATTGTCAAGCTCTGCACTGGCCTGCTAATGGCACATTAATGTGAATCAGATGTGCTGAGGCAGCGAAACATCTCAAACTAGCTGGACATCAGTCTTTGAGGAGTTTGACAACCCTCAGTAGGATGTCTGTGTGGCACGAGAGGCAACCATGCCTGAATGTCACTCAGAGTGTCCTTGAATAGATACTGTATATAGAAACTAACACAGTGTGAATCACTCTGTTTATAGGCTGGAATACATCTAGAACATGGTGAGTACACTGCGTTGCAGCTACACGATGCTTTGGATACATGATGTAAATGAGAATTAAAGATATACATGTTCATATTCTAACTCTTATAAGAATTTGCCACTCTGGTTTGAGTCATAAGCTGCATGGCGCACTGTAATTTCAGCATGAAAGTCCCATGAGTGGACTAACTTGAATTTAGGGTTGTTTGTTACAGTGATGCCTCTATGCATGAACACAATGGGGAAATGTTCTCTCCGAGCGAAAGGTAAACTTTATGGATTTGATGTGGGAATGGGTTTTGCTGCACGGTGGGAGGCTTGGTGTGTGCTTGTTTGTGCAAGTGCCTGAGCATATTTATATACAGTAGCTGCATGGGTTCGTGTGTGGGCGAGTGCTTGGGACGAATGCTCGAAAAGAGAGAGGGAGGTTGTGTGTGTGTGTGTGTGTTTGGGGGGGGGGGGTGTACATGGAGTCATCTCCAAAGGATTCTCGAAGCAGGCACGGCTCAATTGGTAACCTGTGTCTGACCTTGATAGAAAAAGCAATCTTCCCACCGAGTTATGGTACAGAGCAAGGGATTTGCTGCTTGCACTCACAAAACTACTAACATTTATGTTCACCCTGCAACTACTCTCAGCCTTCCTGAGACCTGTCATCCCAAAACCTCTTTTCTTCTGTGGTACAATCTAAAATATTGATCTTTAAAGTCTCAAAGTTGTGGATACTGAAATTTACAATTTTCTCCACAACAACAATTATGGAAATGACTTCTGCATTTCCATAATTGTTGTTGTGGTGGGTGATATATCACTGAAACCACTAGATGGAGCAACGGTACAGTGGTTCCATTCAAATCCGCCTTGCATCAGCATTTCAGGCTAATAACTGCTGTATTTATTCAAATGGTGAATCAGAAACATTAATTTCTTTAGAGGTTGTGATAAAGCTGCGTAAGTACACTGTTTCACAACCACACATTACTCTTTTTTTAATTAAGTTGATTGGAAGAAAATAATCCTCATTTTTGCAAGCAATCGAGCAAAGATTGCCTATGGATTAATCTATTAAAAGTGCAGCCGTGTGCAGAATAGGCAAAGTAAACCCTTCAACACAAAACTCCACGATAGATGTGTAACTAAGTTTATTTGCCATAAGTAGGAAGACAGTGTGCTAACTAATTGATTCTTTCTGAAGTTATTATGGTATTTAAAGATCTACAACTCTAACTCTGACTCCCCAAAAAATGCCTCTGGTCTTAAAAGCCCGAAAGCTAAACGTGTTAATTCAGCTCTTGCTCTTATTTAGCACAGCCTGTCCTTTGCACTGTACCTCAGGAGAACACACAAACACACACACACACACACAGCTCTGCTGCATGACTGCAGAGTCTTGAGATACTGGACTGATCGGTACGGTCTCCAAAGTGAAAAGCTTTATGTAATAAACACATTCAAGGAGAGTGCCATCCAACAACACATATTGTTAGATAGATAATTGTTCAAAAGAAGCAAGGACACACTGCGAAGGCAGATTGTATCCAGAGGTCTGTGATGACTTAACTGCTTCACCAAGGCTGCTCGAGACTGGAGATAAGTCAGAATATTGCTGTTTATGTGCATGACTTCTCCTTAGCAAATGCATTATTTGTCAGGGCACTGGAGGTATCTCGGCCTCAGCATTTATTGCTGCTCTTCATGGTTTAAAGCCCGAATAATAGACAGACACCATCCCAGCAATGACAATAGACTGCAGCACAGAGGAGACATAACAGCCTTCCAATACCCGGAACGAAAAGTTCTGCCAAAACTAACTCAAGGTCAGAGAGAGATTTGAACTCAAGCTGGGATGCATGAACTGCTGGCTTTATCTCTGTGCTTTCTCGCACAATCCAGACAATTAGTTTGAAACACTTACTCTGATTTTTTTTTTTTTCTTTTCCGTGTGTAAGTGGAGCTGTCAAAATATTGAAAAAGGGCTTGTCGGGGATAGAAATTAATAACAGAAAAAATGATTTCCTCCCAACATTAAGCACGATGGAACAAAGATGCAACAGCCTTATAAAAGTCCCATCTGGGTCCTGCTCCTCCCACATTCACACTACATCCTTTCAGTCGACCTCCTCCAATAATTCTGTTGCACTTAAAAGCCATACATAGAAACACGCGCACTCCCGCTGACAACACAATTAGAATGTCACTGACGTGACCTTGAGGGGAAGTGAGTAATATCAGTTTCCAAGGCGACAATGACTCAAGTTATAACAGCCCATATTTCACAGTTTGTCCTAATGAATATACATCGGGTGTAATTTTGATTGAGCACCAGCCCGCCTCTGGGATAATGACTTTGACGGTTCTTAGCAGATTTGATGACTTGATGACGATGGATTTGCTTATTTATCCGGAAATTTGCTCTAGTTCCCCCATAAAAACATAATTAGCTTGATGACATGTCTTAAAGCCACAGCTCTGCCTCTTGCTCGAGCTTGGCTCACAGCAGGCTGCATCTGCTGGATGGTTCACGTTTTACTGGCGTATAAGTAAAAGTTGACTTTAGTAAGAAAAAACTCTCTCTCAGTGCCAACACCATTAAATGTGTTCTTTAAGAAAATAATAAAAAATAAAAAGCTGTTAAAAATCAAAACAATGTTGAGGCCAGTATGCGAAAGGAGGTGTCCTGAAGATACATTCCCCCGGGATGGCCGCTGTGGTTTATAGTCACCAATAAAGCCTTCCAAGAAAAGGGGATTGAGTATTGACTTGAGTAAAAGTGTGTTAAATCCTTCACACAGATCATGGTGGAGGAAGGTCAACGACACCTACATGAATAACAGTGGACCTCATTGTCATACTTACTAAGTTTGGTTGCTACAATGGAGATGTTGTGCTGAGCGATGTTCTCTCTGTCAAGCAGCTCATTTGTGGATATTGTTCCTTCCACTGGATCAATGTCAAAGTAGCTGTCCAAGTCACTCCTCCAGTCGATGGAATACCTGAAAGAAAATATTTGTTTAAAGCATCCATTTTCAACATAAACCAGAACCCCCCCCCCCCCCCTTCTGGGCTCATGTGTATGAGTTAGGTGTAATGTGATGTTGAAGTAACCTTCATTACTCACATTACTCATTCTGAATGGTCATTTTCTGAAAATGTGCTGAGGATTGCACTCACATTCCAATCTGGTAATGGAGCTCACATTTGGCCATGCTCGGCTAATGGTTTTCTTAGGAGCATAAATTAATTTTTGGCACTGTTGAAAGCGTATCAATCCCCCATGCCCAAATGAACAACAAGGCATAAAAATCTTCGTTTGGTGTCTGAGGCCTGGTAAAATGCGCTTTGGACTTGTGAAGCGGCTCTGAATGCATACCACAGGAAAAAAAAAGGAGATCTAAAACCAAACCACATGTCAGTGACAGCACCATTCATCACTCTATGCTATTTGATCTTTTAAGGCCATTTTTCATTAATAATTTTACAATTGTCTATGACATTCTGTCAGGAGAAAATAATACGTTATTCTCCTTCATGAGGAGGTCATAGGGCGAGAATTCAACGCCTTGCCCATGGGCACTTCCACCGAACAGATGCTTAATTTCTCATGGGGTTGAGCCTGGACTTTTCCTGTAAAGAATAGCCTCTCTATATCACCATTCTGGCATTTTTTTTCTTTCTTGTGACAAGTTATTTGATCTTAAAAGGCTATTTGACATGAATATTTATCATGCTTGTTTTCTATACCACAGAAGCTGAAACTACACTTGACTCGATCATCAGAATAAACAGGACCGGTGCATGTGCACCACGTGTAGTACAGAAATGAGAAAGACAACAAAACCTCTTCAGAGAGATTATCTGAGAGCTTTTAGTTTCCACGTCTGTTCTCTGCGTTCCATGCATACTTACAGTGAACATGATCATGCTGAAACAGTTTAGTGTGACTCACTTTGATAAATATTGCAGCCAAGCTCCCAACAGGAGTTCAAAAGATTTATCCTCAGGGCAAAAGTTTTTTTTTTTTTCATTTTTGCAGAAGGGATATAACTGGACTCAAGTTACTGCTGATGCACATTTTTCTGTTCGCATCCTGAGCTAAGAGGACCGTACAGTTTTAATTGAAGTTCCTTTCAACAAGATAATGAAACTGTATGAGCTCGCCCACTGTCTTGCAGACTGAATGGATAATATGAGGAGAAATAATGAAATGGTGTATTCACATGAGACAGAAAAAATTACAGAAATTGTTTCAGCTATTGTGTCCAGCTATCTTTATAATAAACTGACCTCATCAACAGTTGAAAGAAAGAAATCACTGATCCAACGCATCTACTTAACTCTGCAATGACTGTTGTAGATATAAAAAAATAATTAGTCTTATCTCTGGCTTTGAATTGCAGTGATACTCATTCCCTCCATATGAACATTGAACACAATGCATAGCCATCTCTAAAAAAGAGTGAGGTTTGTTTCAGTTTCTTTTTACACATTCATTGATTTTTTTTTAGAGTTTATAGGCTGTCCATGCCTATAAGTATAACACTACATGTCCAGGGGGGCTGTTATGGCCTGTAGCTCACCTTCCTAGTCAGAGATGGTTCCAAACTTTTCATCTTTAAAACTTATTGAAAGCTATGGAAGCACTTTTGAATCAGTCAACAATGCAGTATTCATGAAAACCTCTCCATTCTTAGTTGGAAATAACACAACTCTATACTGCTAAACAGCTCAGTGTAAGGCCTAAAAGCATGATTCACTATGCATGACGGGTCATTGGGTCTATTGTTTTGAAGTGAAGAATGCAAGGCTGCTCTCCAAAGGCATACAAATGAACAATGTCATCTGCGGTACTGATGAATATTTAAAGTGCTGGAGACAAAGTGGAGATCCACAGTGCAGAGGGCATTAGCTTTTTGTCGGACACATCTGTTCTTTTGTTTTCCAAGGAATAAAATATTCACAATAAAACAACTACTGCCCATGCAACAGGTTTCTTTTCTTCTTTCCGTGAGACTTGTGGTCCATGGTCATAGTACCATCACTATGAAGTAATCGCCATAAGCTAAAGTGACTAATAGATTTTAAAAGGAGCCCTCGTACATTTTTAAAAATGCTCTTTCTTTTGTCTTTGCCATGAACAGTCTATTATTATCTTTAGCTGAGGTTTTATGGTTGGAAACAAGAATGTAGTGCATGAGTGTGCATGTGGGAAATGTGTGCACGTGAACAGAGACACTGCAGGAGACTTAAGAATGATGAGCTGAGAGCACAAATCAGAAGTTTAGTGAAGCGTGTTAGATCTATAAAACCGAGCGGTGATTTAAAAGTCCTACCTGATAATTACTGAGGAGAGAGTACGTTGCTCTGTTCAAGTTCATGAGGCAGAGATGATGTTGGTCAATAATAGATAAATGCAGCCCTATCTACACAGCACCTCAAGTACTTTACATAAAGAACAATACTAAAAGAACAGCAAATGTGTTTAAAAGCAATAAAACATCCATGTTTTATTGATTTTTAAACATATTTGCCTATTGAAACTATAGTGTCTGGTCATTGTAAGTTAGACACAAAACAATTGGTTTTGTGTCTAATATAATAGGCTATCTTGTTAGTAAAGAGTAGTCGACAGTCCAAGACCATTGGCTGCAAATTTGTCCGCAGTAGAAAACAAGTAGTACTTATTATACCCTGATCAGATTATCCAATGAATTTAGTGGGAATGTAAGACATTAAAGGTTCACTGATATTCTGGAGCCAGATTGTGAGAAGCATGACAAATCAGATAGAAGATTTGAACTGAATTCTGAATTAGATTTCAAGCCATTTTGGACCCTTTGTACATAGATTTGACCTAACAAGCTCTCACTTTATATGTGTAGGTTATACCTGGCTTGTACACTAACATTAAGCAGCACTAAGAACAAACTGTCAGTGTCATAGTGAAAAAGAAAAAAACAACACTTGCCATCTTGGGTTTACAATCTATGCTTGCTCAAGATGACACCAGCACAGAAGGCAGTGGCAGTCTATCTACAGTATTCAACAAGGGAATAAGATGAGATAAAAGTGTAAGCAGAGCAATGCTAGTTTACTGTAATTCTGCTGTAACTTCGAGAATACAGCTGCCGAGGCTTTTGTTGCCAGTGAGGCGATAGAAATGCTCCGTCTGCTAGTTATTAAAGATAATAGGAAGAGTCGGACACAAAAATTGATGAGAAACTAATCCAAATTCTGAACAGACTTAAAGATACGATGATGGATTCTGACAGTACAGATTCTGCGTTGCACTCTGAAGAAATAAGAGAGCGACTTCACCAAGGCACCACGTGGCGTTCTAGGACATCCTAACACCTTCAATAATTATATAATAATAATTGCCACAGGCTCCCTTTTGTCTGTCTGTTGTCAAAGACAGCATACGTGAGGCAAGTAGACCAGATCTATTCAAATAGATCCCCTGGTAAACCCTCATGCCACAAACGTTAAATCAACAATAACACTCATCAGGTAGATGTAACTTGTTGTTTTGTTCAGTTAAATTTTCAATGAATATCAAACATTTTTTATTAGAATGAATCTAATCTCAAAATACATTAATAGAATTAACTATTGTGCATGAAAATCGAATGATTTCACAGGTAGTCAGCCAATAAACACTCATTCAGAAGGAGGCCTACATTTACCTACAGCGCACATATCGGGTCGAAATGTGAGTAATGAACCGATTCGTAAAACATTGCTTCTACGCTGCACAGTGTGACCAAAAAGTGCTGACTTGTACTACAGATGATTTTACATGACAGTGTCAAATGTTCTACATAGATTGATTAGCCCTCTACCTGATGAGTAAAGCTGACAAAACTCTCACGATTAAAGCTATGATGACATTGATTAATGGAGACTGGAGACGTTGATGGATGTGTAAGAGATGTAATACCTTGAATCACTGGCTGCACTTACTCAGTGTTTCTCTTTTTAGTTCCTTTATTGTCAGAGGAATAACGGTTTCCTTCTAAAAAAACGTAAAAGTTCTTTCAGATCAATTAATTTATTCCAGATTACAGTCTAATGTAAATAGAAATTAGATATCAATTGCAGGTTACAGGAATCTGAATGGTTGCCAAACCCCACTTTCAGTATTCATTTCTAGCCCTGTCCTGTAACTTAAGTTATCAAAACCACATAAATGTGAGGTCTCTAAATCAATATTTTATCAAGGAAATGTGCATTAACCTATATACTTGCTCCTGCACTCTTCTCCCAATTTGTAATGTGTCTCCCAATGGCCAAAATGGTAGCAACCGTCATAATCAAGACGATAAACAACATCAAAATTGGTCAACAGACAAGACCGAGACCCCAAGCCATAATCCAGTCACCAAAGTCAGAAAGTCTGAGTCTGATTTAGCCAAAAGATACTTAAAATAAATAGATAATCAAAATAAATCCAGGCAGCATTCTACATGAGAATAACTCCTTCAAATACTCCTGTTCAATTTGTCTTTGAAATATTATATTACTAATAGTCTTCTTCATTGAACAAAAAAAGGTTAATTCAATAGTTTTAGAAGAATTGAATGTATAATTTAAGAGCAATTCCAACCCATTCAGAAATTAGTAGTTCGGTCTTTCCAACTCTGCAGGAGACCAAATTGCTGTACTCCTTTACGAGAGAAGTTTTGATTTAATTTGTGACTGTTTAACTTATTGATCTACAGAGAGTGATTAAACGGGTTTGGCTTCTTTTATTATATACCACTGTAAGTTTCTTTAAGCGGGAGATGTTTTGCTTTACCTGACTGGGCTGCTGCTGGCATCGAGATCCTGCGCCGTCACCGCTCCGATGATGGTGCCTGCAGGTGTGTCCTCATACACATCCATCACATAGGAGGGCTTATTGAACACCGGGGGCTCATCCACATCTAAAACGTTAATCTTGACTGTTGCAGTGTCTTTGAAGGCCCCAAAGCTCTGAAACCGGGGGTCCAGATGGGCATTAGAGGCATCCACCTTGAAGGTGTATGCTTTCTTAGTTTCGTAGTCAAGGGGCTGTAAATGAAACAGAAGAAAGGTTCAGTGAAAATTGGTGTTCAGTTAAGGTTTTTTTTTTTGGGGGGGTATTTGTGTTTGTTAGAATTTCCCATCTGAAGTGTGCATTCTGAACTAAACTAACAGCAATTTAACAAATTACTTAACACATAATGCATCAATCTTCATAGTCTTCTGCCCTCAGTTATTATTCATAATTCAAACATTTACGATGATGAGTAACTGTGATTAGCACTTAACATCTGCCTTTTCATTTCAAACTCACAAAAAAACAGAGTTAGAAAAATAAAAAACAGCATGAAACATATTGCAAACAATAAATATGTGTGTTTGCCGTCTCTGAGTGCTGAATTGGCAATAAATGGAAGAGCAGCACCTATTTGGCAGAAAGCACACAGCGGGTCCTGACCGGGCTAATGTTTCCCCTTCTTCAGTGTGAGAAAGTCAAGCTGCAGTTTCTTGGTTCAGCAGAACTTCACCCCTCTAACAAGAGGTCCTTAAACAACAGCAAAAGAGTTCATGTGTTTGTTTCTACTCGGGCTTCTGACATGTCAGCTCAGGGTCAATTAGTCAAAAGGGAGGGCAGGAATCAGCATCCTTGGCATGTCTGCGGCCGAGGTGTACACATCTGACAGGGATGACAACCCCGTTCATGCCTCTGCCTGTCTGCTGCCTTCTCATGTGTGACCAGCCATACTTGGCGAGCTCGCAGCTGGTCATGCTCTGCTGGCCCGCAGTCACATGAGAGACATTCCTTTCTGTGTATTTCAAATTGACTAACATGTAACCGATGTGGCAGCAATGCTATCTCCCTGCCCCAGGACTTGGGCTACTTTGGCATGTTGTCTCAGATGCCACCTATTGAAAACAAGCCGGTACCGATATTGTGAATGTGACATGATTTTGAAGAGATGCCACATCAAGAAAAGGGGAGGTGCACTGGATGGGGGCGATAAAATAAACAAAAAATCAAACAAACAAAACTCGAATGAGGCAAGATGAATATGATCAATTAACATCTTGAATTATAGATGAATTATTTAGCTATCTAATTATAGTCCGTTCATTGGAGATGATCCAAGTGTGTAAAGCTGTGACTTCGAAGTGATAGCAAATGCTTCTCTGTCACCCCCCCACTGTCTAAATTTCACAGGCTTGCAGGTACAGCAGGTGTCAGTTAAAAAAAAAGAGATAGAGCTATGTGAGGGGAAGCCAATCTGAAAGCAATCACTGGCCATCAACCACCATGATTGGTTTGATTGGAGCCCACCAGATGCAACTGTCTGTGCACAGCTATAAGATCCTTTAACAGGAAATACACTCTGTCCTTTTCAATTTCTTTCAAGAGGTGACAACACTGAGGGAAAGACAAAGCAAAAGTCCGGTGTACAAACTAGATTCATTGTGGGTGTCTTTCAAATGCTGATTGGTGCAATCAAGCTACACCTACGAATTTTTCAAGAGCGGGCTGCGGTCATTATTTTCGTTCTAGAGTTTCCTGCTAGCTCCTTTGAATTTCCTGAAAGTCCGCCAAGAAAAACAAAACAAAATAACAAAAAAACACTGAGTGAATTTCATGATAAAAAGCACTGCAATCAATATTGTAATCAGATGGTGTAATTATGTAAAGTTTATTCAAAATCAGTGTGAACTAGGGAAGAGAACATTGCACCATGCAAACACTAGAACAACTAATAATATGCACCTTTGCTTTGTATATTGCACCGTTCATCATCCATGTATAACGTTGTGTCTAAATGTGTTTCCATGGATAGCTCAGCTGAAATTTACACTGGTGGAAAGAGGAGAAGGGAGGGCAACGTAGGGAAGGTGGACAGCAGGAGGTGTACACCAGGCCTCATTAGCCAGTATCTCACCAGGGATCAGGAGAAACTCTGCCTTCCATCTCAATATGCTGCATCACCACAATTATCCAGGCCCACAATCTCACTCTTATTAACCATCTAATTTTCATGTAATCCTCAACTAGCAGAGGACAGTCTTGCGATGTGTTTGGGGAAATGCTCCCTTCACATGCAGACTTCGCAGCAGTTTTGACACAAATCTTGCACCAAGCACAGCTGGCATTTTCAGGGTTCCAGCTGACAAATTACTTTGCGTAAATGATGCCTGAGAACAGCAGGAGAAAGGCCATTTGGGTGCAGGTGGAGTCAAAAATGTTAAAAGTGACACTTTTAAACTGCAAAAGCATTGGAAGCATGATGTTATTTTGTCTAGTCAATTTCAGTCTCAAACATTTTTGTATCAAAATATTGTGGGAAATTTGAATTACTGGAAAGCAAACTAGTAATATCAAACTAGTAATATCGAGCAAAAAACAATCATGGACGTCGAGGATGACTGGATAAGGATTTTCCAATTATTCCTCTTTCCCCAATTTAGTGTCTGTGGTCAAATAAACTGGTGGATGATGTAAACAAAAATGGCTGTTATTAAGTAAGTAAGTTGAAACAATTTTATACAATATTTTATCACAACTTTCACACTATCATGCATTTTTGCCCATTTTACATATAGATTCATTAATATACACCATATTTACCCCGTGCAATGCATACTGATACTCATGATATTCATGAGGATTTAAATATTTTAATCCAGACGCTTTCATTAAATTGGAACAGAGGTGATGTCACACGAAAAGAGCAGCTCATTTCCTCAACAAATGGCGAAGGGAAATTTTACAATTCATTGACTGCCATAAGATTAACTGTCAAGCAAATTTCACAGATTGATATACATTCTACTTTGGGTGCAAAACAGTCATCTTAAAAGCTTCACTGCCTTTTAAATGTGTCTGAGACGCATAATGGTGCAAGTATGTCTGTGATATCTGTTGTTAAATTGGAATAAAATGGGACTAGACTGGATAATGAGGAACACTATGTTAATGACAAGATGTGCTAATGTGTCAACGCTTGACTTAAAGAGAATCAAATCAGATCTGTGGGCCATAGGGGAAGTATTCAAAGAATGAAAAAAAGGCCATTTCTTCTCAAACTGCAGGAATCATTTAACGTGCTTTCCCTCTTTTTCACAGATGACCTACTTACATACGCACTACCAGGGCTGTATGACTGCTACCAATTTGCACACAGACTTTATCCTTAAACAAGTCACACACACACCTTTGCATGTTCAATTGCATGTTTGAAGTGTGTCTTTACAGCTTTGGTTGTTGTGCACTTTTTATAGGTTACTGTGGACAACGAGGAAGTGTATCAACTGTGGAATTTGTAAGGAGGACAGACCGAGTTCCTCTAATGTCAGTACTGCTGCTCTTCAACATCACAACAGAACACACTTGAAATTCTACACATGGTGCTGCACCCTTTGATATGTAAATGCGCACCTTCATTGCACTAGCACTAGTACTGAATGAAGGAGTTTTTTTTTTTTTTTGTACTGCCAATTGAACCTGTTATGTTCCAAGGGAATTGGTTAATGCAGAACAAGGGACTAATCAAGGCTTCACAGTCTCACAGGTACAGTATTGTACATCAAACCACATTAGAAAAGTCTTTACATCATCACACTCGCAGAACAATGGGCAGGGATGTTTAGATAATAGAAAATGATTTATTCTAAGGGCATGACCAAAAATTCAACTTTTGTTCTCAATTGACTTTTAAGTCTATTTATGGTTTCTCCCTCACAGTCTTTTTCTTTGTGGTGTAAAATCTGTTTTTTTTCTGTATCTTTATTTTCATCCAGTTTGAACATTATTTGGGGACTGGAAAACAGAATGGTGTATGTATTTAATGGATCTTCAGTATATTTTTGTATTTATGGGAGTTCAATAATCTGCTCAGTCTTCAGTTATCTCCACCCAGTGATGTGGGGATAACATTCTGCCAGTAGCTACAGGTGAATCTTTCAACGTTGGAGGCATGTTTCATTCACAAAGCAACATCATAAACAGGCTGATATCATGTGTTTGTGCTGAGCACACATATTACCTAAAGAGGCTGAAGATTAAATAGCTGGGGAAAAAAGGCTTGGGTATTGTTTAATCTATGCTATGCAGAACAATGTTATATCTATTTAACCATCTTATATTTACTGTACCACTTATGAATCAATAACGTCCCTTCCCATGGTTTATCCACTGAGAGTGAATCAAAGCTGAACGAAACATGCCACGAATATCACATACTTCTAATTGTTGCTGTGTGAGTAAAAGTAGTTGGCCAAACAATAACTTTTGGGAGCATCTGAATGCTTAATTCTTGCAAATTATTTGATCCCATACAGCAACACCCATCTCTGGAAAAATATTGATTTTTTCATTGGGTTGCAGTACACTAATAATTGCTATACAGGCACATTATGTCAGTGGTGCACAGATGCGTCACTGAACACATTTGAGCTTTTCATGAGATCATTGCAGCCGCTGGCTGACAGTTTGAGATGAATCCTGTCATGCACAAACCCACTAAAGACCCCTAACCATTATTGTGCCATCAGAAGACAAGAGCAAAAAAAAAAAAAGAAAAAAAGAAACCTATCATCAGTAGAGAAAAGGCTTACATGCCCCTGAGAGCCATTTCCTGTCCCTCTGAATACCAGGGGGTCTTAACACTGTGGAGAAGAGATGGTCACTTTATTGTGTTGCCATCAGTCACATCGGTTTGTGTCGCTGGCTGCCTCCGAGCATCTCCATCCCCTCAGTGCTCACAACAGTGGAGTGCCATTTGAGTGCCTTGCCAGCAGCCCTGTCCACACTGCATTTGAGTGGAGTGACTGTGAAAGACTCACACTGCCACTCTCAATAGGACGGGGTTAGCCATGGGATGAGCCCCGAGACACCGGTTTAATCTGTTACACCCACACCTCTCCAAACTGACAGAGAAAGGGCACTTCATGGACTCAGAGTACCACCTCAGACACCTCTTTGTAACTCTTCTCCTCATTTTATTTCTTTGTTCTTATTAACGCATTCACACCAAGCGTATATACATGCAGACACACGCACAAGA